GTATCTTACACTTATTAAATCTTCTGTTGCAAACATGGAATTTTCCAATTTTACCAATATGACATTCCCAAGTTTTAGACTCTGTGCCATTTAAACAGTATTTCAGACAAATTCTACCATGTCTAAGGGATTACAGTAATTTTTCTGTCAAGAGATTTTCATAACAGCCCTGTGATTGATCAAATGATTCACTCAAAATCAAGAAAATGAATAATTCCTAAAACAATTTGGTTGACCCTTGAACAATGAGGGGGTTAGGAGCACTGACCTTCACAGAGTTGAAAATCCAAGTATAATCTTACCATTATGGATTGGCACTCCATATCCAAGGCTCACCATCCTTGGATTCAACCAACTGTGGATCATGTAGTACTGTGGAAGTATTTAGTGAAAATAATCTTTGTATAAGTGGACCGGTATAGTTCAAGCCCATGTTGTTCAAGGGTCAACTGTAATTTTACAAAGACTCAAGTAAGGAGTAAATTTTCATAGACAACTTAGATATTTAAAGATAAATATCATACATAAAAGAAGAAAACTTTTTCATTTTTTAAAAATACTTTTCAGGTTCGATTGGTACCGCAGATGGTTCTTCTTTAGTGAAGCTGGGAAATACTACAGTAATTTGTGGAATTAAAGCGGTAGGTTTAATATACTTACTACCAAGATTTGAGTTACTAAGACAGCCTCATATACTTACTAGATTGTTATATACATCTGTAGTTCTACTGTTGACTAGGCAGTCAGGTGTTTTAGTGTTTGTTTTCATTTCCCAAGTTTTCACCTTTGCGTTTTAGATAATACAACCCAAGTTTAATGACTCTTAATTACAATTTGTGAACATTTGCAAATGTGCTGAAATGATTTTTAAAAAAAATCCTCCTTATCTGCCTTTAATTTTTAAAGAATTTGGTTGTAATTTGAGAAATTTTAAGAGGTTTTTGGTGACGTATTTTTATCCATTGATGGCATTTAATCTGTGCAAATGTGTAGAAAATTGCTCAAAAGCTTGAGGGAGTAATAGCTACCATTTACTGAGTACTTGCTGTTTCTAGCACCATACATTGGGTGCTTTCAGAATTGCCCAGTTAATCCCCTGAAGAGTCACTGGAAATTTTTCTCTCCAAATACTTCAGTATAAACTGACTTCAAAGTCTCTGCTTTGACTCTGAACTCTTGAGTTACTCGGCCTAAGTTGAGATTCTTCCTCAGTAAAGGTGGGGTGACATTTCACGAGACTTGCCAGGTTAGGGGCTTAACATTGTCTCGTTTGAGGTTGGGGTTTAAATTCAGATTCTTGGCTACTGAGTAAGAAGAGGTGGGGCAGAACTCTAAGATCCTCCGGTCATTTTGCTGAGGTGCACTAGTCAGCTTTGCCATACTGCCTTCTTGCCTTGGCAGAGCTAGTGTGAATGGTGCTGATGTCCCCAGAGCCCCTGACCCACCTTCCCAGGCACAGTGGATGCTCATGATGTTGCTAACTAGCTAAGATGGTCTTTGGTAGAGCCTTCCTTGACTGACTGCTGTCCTCACAATTTTCTAGTAGCTTCTTTCATAGGAAATGTTTGTATGCTTCTAGGAATTTGGAGCACCACCAACAGATGCCCCTGATAAAGGATATGTTGGTAAGTTAAACAGTTTTGTGATTTTAATAAATATTTTAGTATTATTATTATAGTTAAATCTTAGTGGGTGAATTGAAAATTATTCAGAAGCTTCAGACAGTCCTGAAAAGTTTAATGTATGTATGTTAGACGATAGTGTAAATTAAGTTAAATAATCCTGTTAAATATTGAAATTGTTAAAAGATGATGGTATAACAGCAAGGTACAGAATTCTGTAAATATCTTTGTCAGACTTGTTTGATCAGTTTTGTTTATACAGGTGTCATCAACCATCAACCTTTGACTTAGGCAAAGGGCTGTAATTGCAAACTTTTCTATTTCCATAAACACTTCCTTTATACCACTGTGATTTTCTTTTTCTTAACTTGGATCATCTTTTCTTTATGGTGGGAACCAACATTTTAAAAATGCAGAACAGCTGGTATGATTAGTGAGGCTATAGAATCCCAGGGACAGGGGAGCCGGGTGTTCTGCCGTCAATGGGGTTGCACAGAGTCGGACATGACTGAAGTGACTTAGCAGCAGCATACTGTTATAGATTGGGGTACTTTGAAAGAAACCTAAAAACTTTTGTGAATAATTTACAATTGAAGGAAGTCTTAAATAGATGCTTGGGGTGCTGTGTGGTGGTGTATTATTTTTGTGCAGAGAAAGTCAGAAAATTTTATCTAAGCCTAAGATTTTTATTAAAAATGGAAAAGAATGTAACTGATGTGTTATATAATGCTTTCCACTTGCCTTTGCAGTGGATAAAGCCTTTAAAACTAAACCAGAGGTGAAATTTGGTTCACAGCTGCAGTGTTTCTTTCAGTTCCTAACGTGGATCTATCACCTCTGTGTTCCTGGAGATTTCGGTCTGGCCCTCCTGGAGAAGAGGCCCAAGTGGCCAGCCAGTTCATTGCAGATGTCATTGAAAAGTAAGATTATCATGATAAAGTCTGACTGTCATTCATTTTAGAGTTTTTGAACTTTTGTTTACTGTGCTCTTCATCTTTAAATCAAGTTCACAGATAATTAATAAAGAAGACTTATGCATCTCTTCAGGAAAGGTAAGAGGAGTAAAGAAGCTGTGAGTTTCTAATTCTGAAGTGTTTTTTGGGGTGGGGAAAATTAAAAAAGCACAGCAACCTTACAGATATCTTGTCTCTAGATGGAATTAAAATCACTCTTAACTCTGTAACTATCTAGATAAACTGTAGTTCACACACAAAAAAAACCCCAGTAAATTTTGTTACTTCATTGCCTGGCTAGAGACTATCTTTTAAGCTGATGTAATCTTTTTTCAGCTAATAATGCAGTCATTTAAAAACTTTTTTCCACCAGATAGTATCTGATCAGCAAACATGTGTTTAAGGTGAATCCACATTATAAATTTCAAGTGTTTTTGACAACTTTGAACTACATTGACAAGTACCTAGAAGCTTTTCATGTTTGATTATACTGATTTATTAAGCAGTGTAAGACCTAAAAATTTCATGTATTGAGGTTTCTGTGGTAAAATACATTTTGAGTCTCATTTGGGATTTTCAGAAGCAATTCCCTCATCTGCTAACTTAGCAGTAAGAATGGAAATTCCTTCTACATCTGTAGCTTCCTTGAGGGGAAATGGAGATGTTCACTTGTCAGCTTTTGGTATTACCAAACTTGCTCATTTTTTTACTTTATAAAGGTAAATTTTTTTAAGTCTTTGAGCCTCAAAAGTTGACTGTTTAACTAAGGTTAAACAAACTAAGGTTAAACAAACTAAGGTTTGTGAGTAGAAACAAATACCACATTATACCCATCAGAAAGCTTTTAATTTCTGTGTCAACTCTGTTTTAGCTTGCTTGGGTTTTGTACTGTGATCTCATTTGCCTCAACCATGATGGAAACATTTTGGATGCTTGTACCTTTGCTTTGTTAGCAGCTTTAAAAAATGGTAAGCAACTTTAATAAAAGGGAATATTCCTACATATATGCCAGTGTTTCATTTTGGTAAAATTGTCTAAAGGTTTTTGTGAGGATTTACCTATCCACGTTTCTAAATTAAAGAACAACAATGTTGGTATCCACCATATCTGCTTTAATTGTTCTGTTTTTTTAATACTTCTGCTCCTGTATAGCATGTGGAACTCTGCTCAGTGTTAATGTGGAAGCCTGGCTGGGAGGGGGGTTTGGGGGGACAATGAATACATGTGTATGTATGGCTGAGTCCCTTCCCTGTTCACCTGAAACCGTGCCAACACTGTTTAATTGGCTAAGCATGCGTGCGTGCCAAGTCTCTTCAGTCGTGTCCGACTCTGTGCAGCCCTTTGGACTGCAGCCCGCCAGGCTCCTCTGGGATTCTCCAGGCAAGAATACTGGAGAGGGTTGCCGTGCCTTCCTATACCCCAATACAAATAAAAGTTTAAAAACAAAAAAATACTTCTGGACAAGTTTAAAGAGAGGGAAAAGTAAATTAACCAAGCATAGAATGCCCTGTTTAACTGGAGTGAGAAACTGACTTTACATATTTGCCTTTTTGTAGTACAGTTGCCTGAAGTTACTATAAATGAAGAAACTGCTTTAGCAGAAGTTAATTTAAAGAAGAAGAGTTATTTGAATATTAGAACTCATCCAGTTGCAACTTCCTTTGCTGTGTTTGATGAGTAAGTTAATCAAAAGGTTGTGTATTTAACTGAAGGGCAAAGATTCTTACAAGTGGAACTTTGAGCTTGCTACTAGCGTTTCTGGTTTCTACCGGTTCTGTCTAGCTCCCTCCTAAGCTAAAATGCAGGTAGTAAGTGTAATTTACTTTTCTAAAATAAAATGTGTCTCATGGGTTGATAATGTATACTTTTTATTTTTAAAATAGCACTCTGCTTATAGTTGATCCTACCGAAGAGGAGGAACATCTGGCAACTGGAACCTTAACAGTTGTAATGGATGAGGAAGGCAGGCTCTGTTGTCTTCACAAACCAGGCACGCACTTTCCTTCCATCTCAGTACTAAACATGTAGTTGAAAATGCAGATTGAGCTTCTTTACATTAGGGAGGGCCAAATGGAATGTGGGATGTTTTGTTATTTTACCTAATGTAAATTTACTTAAGATGCCTTGCAAAAAAAAAAAAAAAAAGGTGCCTTGCATCTTTTATGTCAGTGGTTCTTAAACTTCAGGAGGTCTTGTTAACACATAACCTACTATTCAAATTTTGTTTTATAACTTGACATGATGTAGGTCATGTAAGAGTAATTAAAATTAGCGTTGGCACAATTTTTCAGGTGGAAGTGGACTGACTGGATCTAAACTTCAAGACTGTATGAGCCGAGCGGTTACAAGACACAGAGAAGTAAAACAACTGATGGATGAAGTATTTAAGAGTATGAAACCCAAATGAGCAACCACATTTTCAAAACAGATTTGTAAAAACTGTATTTGTTACACTGTGCACAAACCTTTTATACTAAATAAATACCAAACTACATTTTTTTGAAAGATGTTTCTAGTATTTCTCAGGTCACTTCTGTATTATGTACAGTGAAACCATTTTAAAAAAACAATGACTTAGGCAAACCAACCCTAATGGTTTGTTAAACCATTTCCCTGTTTTTATTTAAAAATTATTTGTTTTTATTTAAAAATCAAACTTCTGTATAAAGTTTGTATATCTAGCAATGTAAAATACTGACACATTTTTAAAAAACAAAAATGAAGTAGAAACTCCGAATCCTTTTGATTCAATGCTCTTATGTTTTTAAAAAGAAAAACTATTCAAGACTCAGAATTTTGGAGTGGTTGGCGTGCCTCTCTTCATTTTACTTTTTGACTGGCTGCCTGTATGCCGATGACGATGTAGCTGAGCTGTTTGTGCTGCTGCTGCTGCCATAGCCATTTGATGCTGCAAGAATCGTAACTGCTGCAAACAGAGGGAAAAAATCTAGTTAGGTTAAACATAGGTAGGCATGGAAAGATGATTTTCCTGAGAGTGATGAGAACAAAACTGAAAGGGAGAGAGCACCAAGGTAACAAAAAGGGACTATACCACATGGAGACAATGCACAGTCAAACAGCACCAGTGGTACAGAAGCCTGCTGAGGGCTTTGAAGACAGGGCTTTTCAAACTTCAGAAGAAGCTGTTACTTTGCCTGGCCAGTCGATACTGCAGTAACTCAGCAACTTCAGTTACCATTGTGTTGTAAGCTAGTTTATAGCAGTATAAAACCACCCTGCAAATTAAAGACAGTCAAGTACACTATTCTGACTTCCTAAGAATGGAATAACACTTTTCTAAAATAGGACAGTTTACAAATAGGAACACTGGTATACTTGCCTTTTTCTGCAGTACAGTATTAAGAAGTTAACCATTGGCACTTACAATGGACTATTTAAAAGGAATCTAAAAATGTATGTTAATGTGCCACCAGCACTTCATGAAAGATTTTAAATTAGGCAGAAAGTATGACTTAAATGTACAAAATATATGCAGTGCTCCAAGCTGACTCGCTAAAGTTGTCAGACTTTTAAATAAATTTGCTAAATTATTTACCAATTACTGTATAGTCTCAAAAGACAGTAACATTAAAAATGAAGTAAGGTATTGTGAGGTACTTTTGGAGCAAAGTATCTTTAAAAATGTAAGCAGAGTGAAGTTGCTGGATTACTTGGATCTGTTGCTGCTGCTGTTGAAAGGCAGAGGAGAGCTGGAGTCTGCTGAGGAAGGCTTTGCTCAGGTCTGTTCTCGGCAGAGCCAAGCTGAGACAACACTACAGAGAGGAGAAGGGGAAAGCAGGCCAGTCAGAAAGTTTGAAGGCTACCAGGGTTAGAAAAGGACAACACAGAAAATGAAATAGAAAAGTATCAGTATGATTAATCTTAAGTATCAAATCACAGACATTTGAGAATAAATTTAGTACAGTATCCTGTTAGTTGAGGGGAACACTGCCTGCAGGACTTCCTGGACATGAAGAGGGGAGAGCATGTGGCCAGAGCACTGCGCCCTCTCTTCCTGCATCTCTGTGCCAATTCCCTGAGAAGGCTTTCTAGCAGAATGCTGACTATACCATGTTTAAAATACAACCAGTCAAGTAGGAAATGGAGTGGGAGAAACTCAAACTACCGTGAGGACAAAACTGGTAGACAAATGCCAAGAGACGGTACAATGACTATCAGACCACACTATTAGCAACAAAGGTGGTGAACCTTTTAGAGCGGAGTGGGATCAAGGGTTAAGTTCAGCTCTACAGATGAGGAAACTGCAGGCCTTAGTGGTCTCAGGGACTCACTACAAGGTAATTTAGTGGCAAGTCTGGAACCAAAGTTCTTTCCATTAAAATTACACTACTGCTATTTTAGGAAATTTATAGTTTGTAGGGTAAAGGTTTATTAATAATAAATTTCCATTTGGAAATTCACCAGCTCTAAATTAGAACCTTATGTAGCTATTCCAAATTCAGACACTGGAAACTCTACTGAATTCACAGTAAGTCCAGTGAACATTCAAAATATTCACAAGTTCACTCATTAGTCTTGACACACTATCTCAGTTTCTGCAGACATGTGACTTACTAATTTTAATTAAATATGAACTTATAACTGCTGTCTTAAATTGATGAAATAATCTTCACTAAAGATAAATCTTTGGTTTACCATTTATTACTAGAAGTGGTGAGCAGTCATTTAGTATATCTAATTTTTTTTTTTTTACAATTGTCTTAAAGAAGCTTTGCTACTTGACCATTAAGTCCTAATTCATGCACTATAAGCTATTAGAATGAGACAAAAAACTGCAATCTAGAAAAGTGCAGTCTCAATAATCCTGATAAACTAGAGTCAACTGCTTGGAAGCATCCTACTAAGTTGGGTAATTGTACAGAATTTTGCTAACAAAATTTAGGATGAGGTAAACAACTGCTATTAATATATGTAGGTCAAAGCACTTTATCAAAATAATGAAAAAATCTCAGTGTCTCAATCAACAGTTCACACATTAAATATAACTGAAATTTTTCCTTGTTTTTGCTTGCAAAAAAGAAAAGAAACGGTTTCAATGGTGTGATCCCAAGAGATACTTTTAATAAATTCAACATTATTTAGTTAGGAAAATACCAACCAGCTGCCTGTGAATGCATAAAACTTCCTACTCCGGCAAGGTTAATAACTGCAGCGTGTTGAGCAGATAAGGCTTGTTCCTGACTGGTCAAACTTTGTTCAGAGCCCTGAATTAAAAAAAAAAAAAAAAAAAAAAATGTACAAAAAAAAAACACAACTTTGGGTTGGTGGGAAGGATTGGCATTTTTTCCAAAAAAAAAAAAAAAAAAAAAGACATGTACAAAAAGAAAACACAACTTTGGGTTGGTGGGAAGGATTGGCATTTTTTCCTGATATTAAAAATCAACATTAGAGTAGGTCTTATAAAAAGAATAACAAGGAAAAGCCTTCAAAGGTATTAAGAATTAGTAAGAAAACAGTATTTCAAAAGCACGAAACCTAATTTTCAGAACTGATTCTGTATTGGTTTATTATTTGATGTGGCATTAATAGCTACTAAGGTATCTAGAAAGCTTCATCAGAACTATCTTTTCTTGAGGTTTAGCTGATTTGAAATACTATGTCAGTTTCAGGGGTACAGCAAAGTGGCTGCACCCATTTACATTCCCACCAACAGTGCACAAAGGCTCCCTTTTCTCCACACCCTCTCCAGCATTTATTATTTGTAGACTTTTTGATGATGAACATTCTGACCGATGAAAAGTGATACCTCATTGTGGTATTGATTTGCATTTCTAATTTGATTTGATTAGCAATGTTGAGAGCATCTTTTCATGTGCCTGCTGGTCATCTGTACATCTTCCTTGGAGATACATCTATTTAGGTCTGCCAATTTTGTGATAGGGCTGCTTGTTTTTTTTTATATTGCTTCTATAAAGTGTCATCAAAACATTTTTTTAAAAGCTTAAAACACTCTTTGCAACACAGTACTACAATTTCTAGTGAGCACATTAGATAAAGAAACAGACAGACATAGATTATAAAGGAAAAAAAACCCATTCTTATTTGCAAATGGCAGACTATTACAGGGAAAAAAAAAAATCCCTAAGGAATCTACAAAAAAAAACCCAGAATAAGTGAGGTCAGTAAGATCACAGAACACAAGTTCAACACCAATTGTGCATACTAGTGATAAACACGTAGAAAATGAAAAACAGTACCATTAACAATCCCCCCCCCCCACAATGGATAAAGGACAAAAATAAAACTTAGGTTAAGTCTATAATACACATATAGGACTTGCATGCTGAAAACTAGCTGATTTTAGCCTAGAGACATACCATGTTCATGGACTAGAAAACACATAAACATGGTAAACTCTTCCCAAGATGACCTATAGGTTCAAACTCAATTCCTTTAAAAATCCCAGCAATGTTTTTTTGTAGATATAGACAAGGTGATTCTAAAATTTACAAGGAAAAGCAAAGGATCTAGAATAGCTAAACAATTTTGAAAAAGAACACGAGAGGATCCCTTTGATTTTAAGATTTATTATGACCTCTGACAAAGGTGCAAAAGTAAATCAAACGAGAAGGATAGCTTTTGGAACAAATGGCGCTGGCGCAAACTGCCAACAGCTCCCCCATAAATGAACCCGGACCAACATCTCACCCCTTATACAAAATTAACTGAAAATGGATCATAGGCTTTAAATGGAAAGTATAAAAAGTTCTTGTGGGCAGAGAAGCCAGAGAGTAGTTCTTAACACTTCACACCTAAAGCAAAATTCATCTAAAAAAAAAAAAAAAAAAAAAAAAACCCTCAGACTTCNAATATAAAAAAAAAAAAAAACAAAAAAAACCCTCAGACTTCCATCAAAAGTGGAAGCAACCCAAATGTTCATCAATGGATGAATGGATAAACTACAACATGGATGAACCTTTTGGATATTGTGCTAAATGAAATAGAGGTCAGTCACAAACAAATACTGTAAAATTTCACCTATATGAGGTGCCTGGAGTAGTCAAATCCACAGAAAAAAAAGTAGGCTAGGAGGAGGGGGAAATAAGGAATTCCTTAATGGGTATAGTTTTAGTTTTGCAAGATGAGAGAGTTCTGGAGATTAGTTGCACAACAGTAAGAATATATCTAACACTACCAAAGTGCACACTTAGAAATGGGTAGGATGGTGAATTTTGTATTACATGTATTTTACCACAATTTTGTAAAGAAAAGTACAAATCAAGAATTTTTTATTGAGCTAAGTAATCCTTCATGTGTTAATAAAACCAGTTTTTTTTTTTTTTTTTTTTTTTGCTCCTTTTGACTTAGCTCTTTTTTTTAAAGAACTTTTTATTTTGTATTGGGGTACTGCCAATGAACAATGTTGATAGTTTCAAGTGAACAGCAAAGGGACTCAGCCATACATATACATGTGTCCAAAAAATAGTTTTAAGTATGCCCTCCTTGAGAAATCTAATAGAGGATGAGCATTATCCAGCCAAGACCTGACCGGGCAATCTGTGGCAGAAGGACTGATGGTGAACATTTCATATATTTAACAGTGAGCAAACCTGACCTGCCTGTTGAGAAACCTGTATGCAGGTCAGGAAGCAACAGTTAGAACTAGACATGGAAGAACAGACTGGTTCCAAACAGGGAAAGGAGTATGTCAAGGTTGTATATTGTCACCCTGCTTATTTAACTTCTATGCAGAGTACATCATGAGAAACACTGGGCTGGAGGAAGCACAAGCTGGAATCAAGATTGCCAGGAGAAATATCAATAACCTCAGATATGCAGATGACACCACCCTTATGACAGAAAGCGAAGAAGAACTAAAGAGCCTCTTGATGAAAGCGAAAGAGGAGAGTGAAAAAGTTGGCTTAAAGCTCAACATTCAGAAAACTAAGATCATGGCATCTGGTCCCATCACCTCATGGCAAATAGATGGGGAAACTGTGGAAACAGTGGCTGACTTTATTTTTCTGGGCTCCAAAATCACTTCGGATGGTGATTGCAGCCATGAAATTAAAAGATGCTTACTCCTTGGAAGGAAAATTATACCCAACCTAGACAGCATATTAAAAAGCAGAGACATTACTTTGCCAATAAAGGTCCGTCTAGTCAAGGCTATGGTTTTTCCAGTGGTCATGTATGGATGTGAGAGTTGGACTATAAAGAAAGCTGAGTGCTGAAGAATTGATGCTTTTGAACTGTGGGGTTGGAGGAGATTCTTGAGAGTCCCCTGGACTGCAAGGAGATCCAACCAGTCCATCCTAAAGGAGATCAGTACTGGGTGTTCATTAGAGGGACTGATGTTGAAGCTCAAACTCTAATATTTTGGCCACCTGATGCATAGAGCTGACTCATTTGAAAAGACCCTGATGCTGGGAAAGATTGAGGGCAGGAGGAGAAGGGGACAATAGAGGATGAGATGGTTGGATGGCATCACTGACACAATGAATATGGGTTTGGGTGGACTCTGGTAGTTGGTGATGGACAGGGAGGCCTGGCGAGCTGTGGTTCAAGGGTTCACAAAGAGTTAGACATGACTGAACGACTGAACTGAACTGAAAGGAAATGTTGGAGGTGGGACTCAGGAATCAGTACTTTTAAGCATTCCAAAGTGTAGCAAATGTTCAGAAAACCCTGAACATTTTAAAAGTAAAGTTCCTTTTACTACTTTACTGCAGTTCTTATTCAATTTCTCTTTGGCAATATACAGAATATTTGTTTTTGTCTATTTTCTGTTTTAAGCTTCACAATAAAAAGAATTTCTCTATTCTAACAGAAACAAAATACTATTAACAGAAAGATGATGACTGGGTAAAAAAATACATGGCCTATAGAGGTAGAAAGACCTGGACCTGAATCCCTGCTCTGCCACTCGCTGTATGGCTGTGAGCAAGTTGTCACTTGAATCTATTTCAGACTATGCAAGATGGAGGTGACATCATCTGTTCAGTACGGCTGTTGTGAGAATTAGAAATAGGCCTTGATAACTGATAGCTACTATTGTTAATAAAGAAAGGAGAGCATATGAAAAGTTTGTTCAAACAGTCTAAAAACACTTGAAATAGGCCTGGAATATACCAAAAAAAGATATAATTGTACAATACAAAGCATATCATGTGGAAGGTAGAAAGGACATACCTGCTCCCCAGGCTGCTGAGGACTGGAAGCTGTGGGCTGCTGGGGCTGCTGGGGCTGCTGCGGTGTAAACTGGGAGAGCTGCTGCTGCTGCTGCTGCTGCTGCTGCAGGGTGTTAAAAATGAGCGAGCCGCCTGGGAGCTATTAAGAATTTGAGCAATAATTAATTAGGCGATTTCGGATTATTTAAATTTCCTTATTTTACAAATGTTTCTGGGGCATTCCCTATGCGTCAGGTATTCTTCCAGGGATGAGGAAAACGAAGTCAACAAAATTGAAAACAAAACAAACTCCCTGCTCTTAAAAAAAAAAAAAAAGGAACAATCTCTTTAAACACATTTTTCAAGTGGTATTACTCTGGTTCTCAAATACATTAGTAATCTCAAACATAAATCTTTCTGCTTCAAGTTAATACTTAGCTGTCTAAATAAACATACTGCTTTTGCTTATACATCAACACAAAACAGCACTAAATGCATTTGCAAGTATAAAAAAAAGCTAGTGATAATGGGGAATATATGTTAAAAAAGCTCATTTCCCTAACTTTGGTCTAGCTTTTGCCCAAACCCAGAGGTGCATGGATTTTTATATAACATAGCCAGGAAGTCCAAAGCTGAAAAGAAAATGCATTAGATGTCCATATTTAATTTGGAGACATTACAAGCTCTGTCATTATGAATCTAAATTAATAATAAAAAAAATTTTACAAGAAGCATCCAGAAAATTCCACATTAAACACTAAAACTATGCATTCCAAATGTATCAGAAAACAAATGTTTTTCCATTTTATTCTATAGGGGTTTAAGTTAAAAGCACTTTGAAGTTTTGGGGCAAAGTCCAAGCAAATACCAAGTGAGAAACTCTTAGATCTGTATAGTCAAAAAAGAGGTGTCTAGGGTCAAAAGTTCCACACCCAGCATAGCTCATTGTTAGGTAAATCTGGACAAAGTACAGGCCAAATGTTTCTTTCTCAATTAGTTAGATAATAAAAATGTAGCAGAATATAATTTGTAAGGTGGTTTTTGCCTTTATTATCAGTGCTATTAAGGAATGCCACTACTCTTAACACTGAGCTTGATCCCTACAGAAATTCCTACAGCAAAATGCAGGAAAGCGGGTTAAATAAGCTAATCCAAAGTGTCCATATTATAATTAGATTATTCTGCGATGAGTCTGTAAATACTGACACTGTCTGCATACTGTATAGGAAGTAAGTTAAGGTTTTAGTTCTAAATGTATTTCCTGATTTATTATTTCTGAATATCAGGTTGGATGGATGTGATAATTATTTTCCAATAATCCATAGCTCTGCCATTCTGTGTCTCCAAATCTTTACTTTCATGTCTACCTTTTCTGACAATTCTTGTAGACAATCTCATCCATTTCCAACCTACTAGGCGTAATACTGACCGCGATCCTTAAAGGACCAAGCATAGCCCAGAATACTCTAAGTTCACAACATGTACTAAATTCTCTACCTACCTTTTCTCTTTGTATGTTAATACTGAGAAAACGTATCAGAAAAGTCTTATCACTTGACACAAACTGTAACCTAATGGACATTTACTGAATGACTATTCAGTAGTGACTGAATAGTCACCTGCCTGGCACTGTGCTATTAAGTCATACTCTCCTCAGGAAAAGAACACACATACCTAATCTAAAAACCTTCTATTCATGTATAAAATCTATTGTAAGCAAACAGCAATACTTCTGTATACACGTAAAAAGTCTGTGACAGAACAATTAATTTCTAAGTATATTTGCTGCTACTACTGTAGGCAAGTTATTCTTCTTGGCATCTGTGAACTCTCCCCTCTGGAACTAGTTCTTAATTCGGCAGGGCTGTCAGAGCCAACGGAAGTGTGGTACATGGGCACCAATTTTTTCCCACTTATCCACTTAACCATACTTTCAGATGATTCTCAACAACCTCAGAACTTCAAATGCTAAAATGTGCAAACATACATGGCTAAAAAACAAAAAGCACTATAAAAAACTTTACAAAATAAAAGTAAAAAACTATCAAAAGCAGTGTTTCGGGTTTACCTGGAGTAGATTTAAGGGCCTGAGACTTGAAGTATTTTTTAAACCAAATGGAACACCTATTAAATAAAACTCATGGTTAAAACAGGAAATTAAAACTTTATTATACTTGGAGGTACTTTATACTTTAGCATCTAAAGAAAAATTTTTAAGTACTCTCTGCCACAGATGTGCTTATTTTCTATACTTTAACATTTTCTTAAACCCAGCCCCCCAATTTCATCACTATTTGCTGATAATGAGATCTTATTCAAAGATGTGAAGCACCAGATGTACCTTATATTCTGTATTTCAGAAACTGAGACTTCTTTATAACTACTTAAACTACTGGCTGGAAAAGTAATCTGGCAGCATGCAGACACCACAGGTATGATAAAACCATCACTGCTGTGGAAACACGTCTCACACATTGCTATCTACTTATATTTCTCAGTGCTACACGGCATGTGATCAATAGCCCTGTCTCAGAACCAGTGTGCTTTGTGATGTTTCTTAAAGTGCAAATGCGAACATTAATAACGCTGAAGAACACCGAATTTTGTGTGTAAGGATCAAGCTGAAAGTCAGGAAACAATGCTCTGTGAATCCTGAACTTATTCCCCCAAATCTGTGACATAGCACAGAGCAAATCCGAAAGCAGGCGCTGGCAGACGCTTCCAATAGGCTTCATGGGCCACAGAGACTCTGTCCCTTCTTCTTCCTCCTATCTATTTTTAAGAAAACAAACCTTAAAAAATGTAAAACTATTCTTAGCTTGAACTGTTTGCTGATACTAGTCTTCAAGTATGTATGTATCTTCCTCACTAAATATACCAATTTGAACTCTAGTTTAAAAGGTAACTCGTCCTCTAAGCAGGTAATTGTATTTAAAAAAGATAAAGGGTAGATAATGCACAAAAGACAGCATGAAAGGCTTGTCTGAAAAACGGAAAAAGCATAACCAGGTAAAAATGTGACAATACGGATAGCCCCTCCAGGAATTCTCATAAAAGAAAAAAGAGACAGAGATAACTCCCTTTAAGGGTGGATGACATCTGGGTAATGCTTTATAGCTTACTAAAGGCACTTCCATATCACTTCATTTATTTTCTTTTAAGTAGCCACTTAAGGTAGCTACATTTACTCCGGTTTTAGAACAGATGAAACTGAGGTTGCTGCTGCTGCTAAGTCGCTTCAGTCGTGTCCGACTCTATGTGACCCCATAGACGGCAGCCCACCAGGCTCCCGTCCCTGGGATTCTCCAGGCAAGAACACTGGAGTGGGTTGCCATTTCCTTCTCCAATGCATGAAAGTGGAAAGTGAAAGTGAAGTCGCTCAGTCATGTCCGACTCTTCGCGACCCCATGGACCACAGCCTACCAGGCTTCTCCATCCATGGGATTTTCCAGGCAAGAGTACTGGAGTGGGTTGAAACTGAGGTTGAGGGGGAACAATTAAGTGACTTCTTCCAGGCCCTACAATAAGCATTTGGAGCTACGAGTAATTAGAAGAATTACATGTAAATATAATATCCCAAATTCAACACTGATTCCATTTTCCAGGGCTCCTACCACTAAAACATACTTACACACATTAAACTAAGGATATATCAGGTAGAATTAGAAAATCACAGCAATATATTAAACATATTCATATTATATTCTTTGGGTTCTCTTTCTCCTACTCACAGAAAGTTTCTCCTAACTCATAGTTAAGTTTTTCTTACTATGCTGAGTTTGTTTTTCTGTTAATCTTTTTTTTCTGAGTAAGAAATGAGACTGTTCTACAACACATTCTCTTAAAGAACTTTAAAAGTAGCACAAGTTGTTAAAACATTTTTCCAGTACATGTAATTACATTACTACAACTACCACAATAAACTACTACTAATGATGGTGACAGCAGTTATTTTTGAATGTTTATCACATCCCAGGCATAAATACCTCATCTGTATTTATTCATTTAATCTTCACAACTGTGAGGTAAAGCATTATTATTATCATCTTTATTTTATTTATAAGGAAAATGAGGCCCAAAGGTAACTTTGCTATGATTATGCAGTTATGGTAAGTTACACAAGAAGGATTCAATCTAGGTAGTCTGGCTTCAGAACTGAGGCTTTTAAATGCCATGCTATGTTGCTTTTCCTGCTTACCTATGTTTTCAAAATATGTTTCTTTTACCTGGAGCAGGACTACACTGGGAACCATCAAAGTTACTTTTATAATAATGTTTGAAAGTCAAAGATAAAATTTGCAAAGACTTACAGGTTTACCAAGTTTCTCCAGAGAATTTGATAGCCAGATGGTTTTTAATTCAAATGTGAGAATTTTAAAAGCTTTTGAAAGGAAATATTTTCAACATAATATTTCATTAAAAAAGGATGTTAAATGTTTAACATCACTTAAATGACATTTTAAATTTTAACATAAGTATGGAGTGTTAATTTTGTTAGAGGTTATTATTTCCAATATTCTGACCTGCTTGAGAGGCTGACTGCATTGCACCCGGCAATGCATTTGGTAGCAGACCTCCTGAGGGTAGAAGGCCACTCAGGTTTATTCCTGCAGGAGTTATGGCACCAGTGTTACAGCCCAGCATAGGGTTTGAACCACTCATCAAAGCTTGAGCTCCACTGCAGGAGAATAAGACAAAGCATTAGACTAGTGCTGTAAAAGAAAAATCAGCTACATAAATCCTTGGATTAAAAAACAAACTGCTTCACAAACACAGATATTTCTGTCTTAAATATCAACAGCAAAGTTGGCAAAAATTAAGTGCTATGTATCTACCAAGGTTTAAAATATAATCTGGTAGAGTAATGTACTCATCAATGGATTAAAAGATGGTAACACAGGATAAACAAGAAAAATCTAAGCTGCTGTCAATGTGAAATCAGTAGTGCCACCTTAGTGCCTATAATGGATGTATTACTACCTAAAATTCAAATGTACTTTTTGAGATAAATTCTAGTCATGCAGAAACCATTTTTTTCAGTTTCAACAATATACAGTTTGTTTTTAATTTCACAAGTAATTTCTTTAGACTGGTGAGATTATCTTAAAAAAAAAAAAAAAATCGGGGCTTTGGTGCAAACTTACCAAACAGAGCCCACTACATTGATGAAGTTAAGTCCAGCAGAGTTTGCCATGACCTGGGTGGCTGTGGTTCCTGTGGTTATGGATGTCACCATGGTGGAAAGAGGAATGGTCGTTACAGGCATTGCCTGGCTCAGAGACTTTTGCTGCTGAGCAAACTGAGTTAACAAAGTGGGCTGAGGGGTGAAGCCTGAATCTTGGGGAGTAGGGGTAGCTGAAGGGGTAATAGGAGTTGAGCTCTGAGCATCAGGAGGGTGTGGGGTCGATGAAGGGGTTGGTGTAGGAGTAGATGGCTTAGGAGTTCCAGATCCTGCTCATTGAGAAAAATAAAAATTGCTAGTTTGTTATAAATGGCCAGTCCTTTTTCAAATAAGGTTAATGGAATCTTATTTAGCACTGACAGTCTGTTCCAGTTTTTTTTTAAAAGCAGTTAACTGCAAGTGTTAATTTCTACACATGATACATGAGTGTTGCTACACTCAATTACAATTAAGGATGCAGTATATCACCTACAAATGCCATCAGAGATGCTATTACAGGAACAGTAGAAATATACATTTGTATTCTATCACAAAACCCATTTAAAAGTTAGTTTCCTACCATGCTATCTGTGGCCTAAAAACTTTAAAAGGAATTAAAATTAAGTTTTGTTATTTACGATTTCACTAATTTAGGACATCACTTAGAAATATTCTTATTTTCTGTTAACAGTCTGAGATAAAACTCTGAACATATTTAATAAATTACATACAGTTAACCATCGTATTTGGCACCTAAATATACATACTTAATTCCTAACACATCAAATTCACCCTGACAAACAAATTTTACAAAACACAGTAATAAAGCAAGTATTTGATAGATAATACTGCATCTTTAACAGTAACTGTGTACTTCGGTTTAAATGTAGAATGTATAGAAAATCTGTTGTGAATGAAGTATGCACAGTTTATCAACTTTTTAAAAAAAAAAAACAAAAAATAAAAAAACAAAAACCAGAAAAATAAAACCAAAAGCTCTTGAGGTGTTTTCTTTTTTAGCTTTCATGTCCTGCAGAAAGAAAGGAAAGAAATGTGAATGTCCAGAAGCTGTCACTCAACCCTTACTTAAAGTAACAACTGTGTGCAGTAGATTAACATAATAATCCATACCCACAACATAAGAAGTGTGAATAAGACTTTCAGGAAATTTATAAATTTTTTCTTTGTGCAAAACAAGAAGGCAGAAAAATTACACCTTTTGAGCTATCAAGATGAAGATGTTTACATCTAATGCAAAGACCACCCTGTCACTGTGCAGTGTACTAAAACTTTCAGCACATATTAGTCATTTATTAAAAAATCTAAAAAACTGGAATGCTTTTTTTATTTGCAAGTTGGTACCTAAGTATCTCAGATATTTGTTAATTTGAAGAAATTCAAACTAATGCTAAAATTCTTGAGCAAATTCTTCTTGATGTTTAAAAAAAAGTATTCAGTAGTAAAAATTACATTTTATTATCTTCAGAATGCTTTATGATCATCCCACATTTTAGTAACTGACAGCAATTAATGAGAGTGTATGGGTATTATTAAAAAACTAGCTTTCAGTTTACTTCTTACATTTACGAAGATAGGACTGCAGCAACAACTCATACGACATTTTTTTTCTGTATCAGCTGCATAGTTTACATAAAATGTAAAATGTCCTAAGTTACACTGGTATAAAAAATAATTTGGAATCTTACTGCTACATTTAGCTATCAGATTAATTTTTTCAGGAGATGTGTAGGTTGCAAGTCTATAAGAAAGGTATACACAAGCTGCATACATAAATACAGAAAAACAAATACAATTACAATAAACACATAATACATACAGTCAACAAGATCTGCCTGAAGCTTCTTAAAACTTGTACATTTTGGGTAGACAGTACATTCAGATTTCACTATTTCTTAAGAACTATCTTAAGAAACACTAATGCAAAAGCTTATGAAGAGTTAATGAAGAACTTAAGTTACAACTTACTTTGTGATGAACTGGCAGGTGATAGGGCAGCTGGAGAAAGCATGCTAACTTGATTAAGATCCACGGATGACTTCCGAGAAAGACTTGGTGGCTTAGAAGCAGGAGGAGGAGTTGGAGATTTAAGAAAGCTGCTGGCCTGTTGTGGTGTAAAATAGTTACCTAGGGAAAAAAAATGTAGAAGTTATTTGCTAGGTTTACAATTTAACATTCTATGAATTCTGCTATTTCTTAGATTTACAATTAAAAATTCTGAGCAAATCAAAATATGAGTAAATGGATTATGATCATCTGCTTCTTACTCTAGATTATAGGCAATTAAGGAACACAATACCTGAGGAACTATTTCCTGAGGCTGAGGGAAGTTTGATGGGTGGAGGTCGATGTTTCACTCCCTTCCCCAGTACTGACGACTGAACTGACACGGTCTCAGGCTGCTGAGAGACAATGACATTAAGCATACTCATTAAAATGAACTCAAATCAGAAATTCACAAATTTACAACACTGCAACTTCTGGACGAAAACACAGTTTAAAAAGATTAGGTATTACATGTATTTCGAAAGACTGCAACTTCACAAAGGGAGAAATATTTCTGACCAAAAAGGTGAAGAAAGATTTTGAAGGAGAAGAGCAGAGTAAGATGACAGCAAAGCTTAACCCCTAAATCTTCCCCAGAAAAATGATAGCTGTGGAAGTCAGGCAGGTGATTAGTATACACAGATGTCCATTACAATTTTTGTTTTATACCTGTGTACGTTTGAAAATTTCCATTATATATGGAAAGTTAAATAATGAAAAGAAAATTAAAGTTAAAAGTAATTACAAAACTAAACAATGGACATGAGTTTGAGCACATTCCAGGAGATGGTAAAAGACAGGGAAGCCTGGTGTGCTGCAGTCCATGAGGTTGTAGTTAGACACGACTTAGCAACTGGATGGCAACAATCCCTCAAAAACTAGTCGTTAATATTTTTCACATTCCTTGAGAACAATCAGGCAGGAAAAAGTAACAGCACAAAAAAGTTAACCAAACACACTTCAGTTTCTCTCCCTGGAGAAAGCTGACTCAAGCTGGCTGAGCCACTGGAGCTATGCGACATCTTCACTGGACATTTGGCTTCATTCTGGACCAATTCCTGGTACTGATTGACTACTCTGAAATAACAGGGGGAAAACAAGTAATGATTAGCTAACTCTATTTTAAACATAAATTGATTACATAGAAAATGAATAACTGTTAATGAAAAAAGTTCTATGAAAAATAACACAAAAATTAAAATTTAGACAATTTATCTTTGATAAAAGCAGTCTTTTAATTTTTCAGTAACAAGCTAAAGCTGAAAACATTTTGCTAATTAACTATTTAAAGATCCTTTCAGTATCTTGTCTCTAATATAAAATTACAGGGATTATTTCACCAATAAGCAGCCAAAAGAATTAACCATTGACTCTGACTTATATTCTGATTAAAAGACTACCGAAAACTCATTTTCCTTAGCTATTATAGATATATCTAAGTTTTATTTAAAATAAAGCTGTATTTTAAACATTATCCTTTTAATTGTTACTTTCTTAATTCTATTTAAAAATCCTAAGAGTACCTGAGATATAATTAGAATCAAAGCTTTGACTCCTAACGGAGTATTCTCTATCCTGCAAGAGTAAGGTTTATCATATCCATCCAATCAAAAATAAAGATGCAAATATTTTTACCTCTCAGCATCAGTCTTTGATCCAATAACAAACCTAAATTATTTTTTAAGAAAAGAGAAAAGTATTAAATACTTGTTTTACAGAGCCCCGAGATTACTTTTGAAGGCTTTTAGTAATTTTAAATATAGAATTAAACTCTATCATATCATGAAAAAAATATTGAAAACACATTAAAAAATATTAAGTGATGACCAAGACTTGCATGCATTACAAAATAATTCTGTGAATAAATTGTCTGATTTAATTTAAGGGAGATTTGGGGCTGAAAGTTGCCAAGTGCTTCATACCCTTACAAGTGTCTGTCCTACACCAAAATTCACTGAACTACCTTGTGCAAGGCCTGTGGCCTTCCTCTAGCTTTAAACTTTTGATTTTGTAAGTCATTATTAATGTTTACATATCAGGACCTTAGAATACATTTTGACAAACAAGAGTTTATTGCCAATTCAAATAAAGTCTTTACCAACTCTTTTAAAAGAATGACATTTATATGATTTCTTAACAGATTAAAATAGTGAGTTTGTTTATTTTTTAATTACCAATTTGAATGATCATCTGTGGAGAAGCTGAAATATAAAATGTAAAAAAAAAAAAAAAAGAAAAAACTTGTTAATGCAGCTCAAACTTTAACTTCATAGCTATTAAATCAAGTAATTTATGAATATGGGAGAATGACTGGAAGGTAATAAGCCATGCAGCATTTCTGCAGCAATGTCCTGAAGTAAAAGGCAAAAAATTCAATTCTCTAATTGTCAAACAAATATAACCAGTTGGCTTTCTGAACCAACTTTTTTTTTAATGAGGGATCATATGTCATTCCACTGTGTTTCAGAAAATTTAGTAACTATTTAAAATGACCAACGTGTGTTTCTCAAGGGAAGACTTAAAAAATATGGCTAATCAAAATATCTTGTCTTTCTACTAAGTATAAATAAAATAGTAGCTGAGGATCCCCTGACTGCTACTATTTCCTCCTAGTGACTTTTACTTAGGTATTGGTGAGGTTGTTCTTTAAAATCCATCTTTCTGTTACAGTTTAACTTGTATTTTGTTATGATTTAACATAGAGCTGGCTCTTGCTATTTTTCTGCTCAAGTTCTCTTTTTCCTTCTTTTCAAAACAGGATCAACTTGACTAAAGAACAGAATCAATAATAAAACATTAAAACTAAATACTGGGTACCTCGTAGTAAACATATGCAGCCCATAAGTTTAGAAAGATCAAGTACAGTTGGCCCTCTATATCTGCAGATTCTGTATTCTCAGATTCAACCACTATGGAGTGAAAATATTTGGGGGGGTGGGGTGGGGAAGAGAGAAATATTCCAGAAAGTTCCAAAAAGTAAAACCTGAATTTACCACGGGCTGGCAACTATTTATTCAACAGTTAAGTTGTATATACTACTTATTTACATGGCATTTACATTGTATTAGGTATTGTAAGTAACCTAGAGGATGTGCCTAAGTTGCAACTGCGTACTATTTCGACATAAGAGATGACCATCTGCAGATTTTGGTACCCAAGGGGTCATGGGACCAGTGCCCTGCGGTAACGAGGAACAACTTTATACATATTGCTTTCTATTGTTTTTGGCCACACCATGCAGCCTGCAGGATCCTGGTTCCATCACCAGGGATCAAATCTCTGGCCCTGCAGTGGTAGCGTGGAGTCCTATCCACTGGATTGCAGGGAAGTCCCATGTAAATATATTTCTAGACCCAGTAACTACATGAAGCACTGAGTCTGTTTCCTTACAGGCAGTGCTGAAATATCAAGCATTTTAAACAGCTTTTACATTTACAGTAAACTTGCTTCCCACTTAAACGAATTATTGCCAGAAGCATTTCATGCTCACAGAGGTTAAAGTCATAAGTGAAAGTGAAAGTGTTAGTCACTCCATCGTGTCAACTCTTTGCAATCCCACAGACTGTAGCCCGCCAGGCTCCTCTGTCCATGGAATTCTCCAGGCAAGAATACTGGCATGGGTTGCTATTCCCTTCTCCAGGGAATCTTCCCTACTCAGGTCGAACCCAGGTCTCCTGCATTGCAGATGGGCTCTTTACTGTCGGAGTACCAGGGAAGCCCCCAAAAGTCGTAAGTGGCAGCATATAAATAAATATACCAAAAGGAATAGCACAGGCATATCTTTTATAGCAAATATAAAAATAATTAAGCATAGTTTTTAAAAAAGAAACTACTATTTTAAAGAACTTCACAACGTGGTAACTACAATTTAAATTTACTGAGGTCTGCTGCCAAATCTAACTGAAGTTAACAAAAAGGGGAAATTTTTGTTCATCAATAGCTCATCAGTAGTCACTGAATAAACTCTTGACGGTTTACTTGGTCAAATACATGTATTTAACAGAACTCACTGGGATGGTGACATCGGACTGTCACTCTCCTCATCTTCTTTACATGGCTGGATTTTACCATAGTAAAGTGGATCACCAAGAGACTGCAAAATGGTCAGCTTTGTTTTCTGATACTGATTACCAGCTTCACATTCAAATATATAATCATCTTTTACATCCTGGAAAAAAATATCCCAAATAAATACCCTCTTCCGAAAATACATCATCAGAATTAACAAAAACCAGGGGTAAGTGACACACTCACTTGTATCCAGCAATTAGGACACATGGAGGCCTACTTAAGACCGCCCAAGGGACCTCCCTGGTGGCTCAGTGGCAGTCTGCCTTACCATTCTTTAAAAACAGAAGGAGACCCCAAAGGAAAGGCTATTGTGCTTTATGTTTAATAAATTCAGATCCCAGATTAGAAATAGCATCAAAAGAAATGGAGCCTACAGCGGCTACTTACATGGGCTGGCCAGACTGTTGGTTGTGAGTCATCAGACTTGATAGATTTTTCTACTTTGGCATATTTTTCCACCTAAGCAACCAAATCAAGAGACACCAGATATAATGAAATCAGTATTATGACCATAGACAAAAACATAAGTAACTTAATACAATATGCTTTTTAGGCCAAGAATTCTTGAATCACTAATAACACCAACTATTTATGCTTAAGTAGTTTAAAATTCTCCTGATATATATTCAATTAGACCGACTGGTTTTACAATATAAAAAAATTAGGATCTCTTTTGCCATTAAACAAATGTAATAAACACAAATGCCTCTTCCTTTTATTCCTAAAGTAGGTATCATATTTATCTTTCAGGAAAACTGGGATGTCAGAGAGGTGATTAGGACCAGGATCTTTTATTTTGGCTGAGTCTTTACTGGAATCAACTTCCCTGGTGGCTCAGATGGTAAAGCGTCTGTCTACAATGTGGGAGACCCAGGTTTGATCCCTGGGTGGGGAAGATCTCCTGCAGAAGGAAACGGCAACCCACCCCAATATCCCTGCTTGGAAAATCCCATGGACGGAGGAGCCTGGTGGGCTACAGGCCATGGGGTCACAAAGAGCCAGACATGACTGAGCGACTTCACTGTCCTGGAGTTGTCAGGCAACAGTGCGGACACAACTAGAAAGAGACTAGGGCAGTTATATTAAAATTGGTAAAATTTCTGTAAATCTCCATTTTCTTGTCAAACTCAAACCATATATTCCATGTGTTTTCTACCAGACTCTGTGAACCAAAAGTTCTCATCTTTCTGGTAACCATGATTCTTAAGAGTAACAGATTCACTTGGGCATCTGGTAAAAATTCAGATTCCCATGTCCCTCCCCTGGAGACCTGACTCAGTAAGTTGGACTGAAGTGGGGCTTTAAATCTGTATGTTTAACTGGTATTCTGGATGTTTCAACTGATCAGACTGAGAAACTTTGTATTAGGGCTTTGCTACTCAAAGTTAAGGTCTGCAGAACCTAGTACCATGCAACCTAAAAGCTTGTCAAATACTGCAGGAGATCAGGCCCTAGCCCAGACTTGCTGAATTGGAATCTGCACTTTTAATAAGCAATCCACGTGATTCTTATGTACATTAAGGTTTGGGAAGCACTGCTTTATATACCCAGATTGCCCTCTGAAGTGAATTCCTCCCTTTGGTATTTGCACCGAACATCTCTTCTCAGGCCATGTTCCTTATATAGATAGACACACACTGAAAGATAATGTGGCTTACTCTCGAGTTGTATATTGTATATACAGTCTACTTCTAATGCTTTTTTTGGCTTTGTGCTTTTGAAAATTTTTTAAAAATCACAGATAGTTAAGATTTACAACTGTGCTAGCCTAGGAAGTATGCACCCGAGCAAACACCTGTTAAAATAACTAACCAAAAATAAATAAATAAATAAATAAATAAAATAACTAACTCTAGTGAGTTTAATGAATAAGAAAAACAGGAGAAACAGGAAAATAAAAGAAACATGGAACCTCCTATCAAAAGAGCTCTTTCCTGTCTTTGCTTATTTATAGTTCATGTACATTACAGACCAGCAAAGAATACTACTCAAGGATGCAAACCTTGACCACTGCTCCAACATTGTTAATTTTTAAATTTGACCAGTGAGAAGTATTATCAGGAAATTATGATGAAATATTATGAAAAAAAATCAGAGGCATTTTATGCATATAATGTAATATGTACCATCTTTTTACACTTTTGGAAATACTTTGCCTATTTTTCCTGCTCTAAATACAAATCTATATTAAGGAGTTACATACTTAGACAAGTAATATGAAAGAGCAGCTTCTGAAAATGAGCAGTTGACTTAAGTGTTTTTGCACAAATATGGAGAACGAACTAGTGGTTAAAACTGGGGGGAAAAAGTGGTTATTATGGGATTGTATAAAATCATGTGTGTGAAAATTTTGAAAACTGTAAAGCACTATATAATTTAAAGAATCTTTTATTCAATAAAATTAACAGAGAAAAGTAGTAGCAATAAGAATCTCTGTTTTCCCAAGTACTATTAGTGAGATTTAGGAATCTTATATATGAAAATAAGTGCAATTCATGAACTAACTTACATCCACCTCAGAAGGTACAGCCAAATTACAGGGACTCCGTTTCCACATATCTACACACTAAAAAAAATTAAAAACAGTATAAATAAATATACTTAAGATGCAAAATAAGGCATTTGGCATAATAAGCTTCATTTAAAAACATATACTTACATTTCCTGCTTTAGAAATTTTGAGGTCATAATGCTGACCTGCTTTTCTTTCCTTTCTTTTTTGTAAGAAATCAAGTAATTTTAGCTGAGGAGGAGGTGGACAATGGGACATATCCTGCTGCCGATTCAGAGAGGACCTGGAATATCTCTTGAAACATCTGGAATATTAAGAGATTAGAACTATTGATACACCAGGCTAATAAAAGAAACTCAGAATAAATATGGTTTAAAAAATGTGTAATTAAATCACAAATATCTGGAGAACAATGTCACTTGCCAAGTAATGTTCCAGGCACTGGTGAAATAAAAATGAACATGATGAACACAATTTCTGCTCCCATGGAGCTGACAGTCAAGAAGGGAAGACACATATACATTCACAAAGGAACAGGTCAGATCACTCCAGATAACAACAGTAGAGTATGCGTAAAAACCAGAGTCCTGGGAGGAATAAGTGATATAGAGGGCAACACTAGGGGAGGGTAGGAAGGACTCTGAAAAACTTGTGTGAGCTAAGACATGACAAGAAGAAACACCCTGTGGAGAGATCAGGAAATGAATATTTGAAGCAGAGAATTTTAAGTTTCTGAGGCAGGAACAATGCTGGCTTGTTTTCAAAAATGAAAAATACAGGCGGGACTAGAGCACCAGCAGGAAATGAGGTCAAAGAGCAAGCCAAGGGCCTTGCAGATGAATGATAACATAAAGTACAATGGGATGGTTTTAGAGAGATTTAAGCAAGTGGTAGCATGATCTGCTTTGAGGTTTTTAAAACATTACTTTGGTTTGCTTACATGGCAAACAGACCACAAGGGAGCAAAGGTGAAGCAGTCAGACCAGTTAGGAAGGCGTTTTATCACAGAAGTCAAGATGAAGATGACACTGGCTTGGTCTAAGCTACTGGCAGTAGGTGTGGAGAGATGTGGAAAGAGGTTCCAGGACACTTTATGGGACTGCTCACAGATTCTCTATAGACTTATTTCACTATTTCCAAAGCTATATCTTTTCCTCAGCATTTATTACTTCAACAGTAAAACAGAGAATTTAGAAAATGGGTAGGTTACTTCGGCCTCTTCAAACTTGAAGATCCAGAGTGGACAACTGAAACAAATTACTCAAAGAGAACTTAATGATGAGCCAACTATAACTGCAGTCTAAATTAATATGCATTCTTTTACTTTATTGAGATGGCTAAAATATTCAAAGACAAATTATCATGTTATAAAAAGGCACTTAGTTATAATTTGACTTCTCAAACTATAATCACTTTCCTCCAGAACTGTAAAAGAAATTATAAATTGATTTTTTAAAGGAAACATTAACAAAAATTACACTGGTATTAGGACGGGATAAATTATTCTTTATTTTCACACTTGTCTCTGCTCAGAATTTCTTTTTGGTGAACAGACTGAATTTATAGGTAGTCTGTTCTTCAAAAGAATGCACAGAACACATCATTTCAAAATAAAGAAGAGTATTTAAAAAAAAAATCCTAATTCTTACACTTTTACTCTTTAGAGGGAAAAGATACCATAAATGTCAAAATTCAGAGCTCTCTAACTCTCTTTCGGTTTATCCTTCCACAAAGGTGATTACCGTTTCATCGGGCGCGTGTTCATCTTTTGCCTGTTATAGAGCAGTCTGTTTGCAGTGCAGGCTACAGATATGGAAGGATCAAGACACAGTGGTTCTGCTGTAGCCAGAATCAGTTGGCTCTCAAGCAAAAGTTTGTCTTCCTGAAATGGGTAAGAGTAAATATCAGTACTAGCTTTAAGATTTTCAAATCGTACACATCTCTTAATCTAGAAATATTCCTGGGAGTATTTCTGCTAAGGAACAGAGTAAAATGTAGTATTTCAAGTACCAACTTAAGTGTGTAAACTTTACAAACTGAACAGCATGACACCACTAATGGAATTTCAATAATTTGGACAAACTGGTCAAGCTGGAAGAATGCCTATCTGTTAGCCCAACAAATATTTACTAAGCACCTATAATATGTGAGGCACTGTTCTAGAGGTCAGAGAGTTTTTGTTTAGACTATAGGTTTTTCACATTTAAGAAATACAGCTGTCTAGATTCATTAATATTCTCAGGTTGATGACATTTTCAAATGAAAATGAAATTTTTCTGAAGAATTTTCCTTGAAAAGGTACAATAAAGCATATAGCCTCTCCCTTTATTTACCAATTGCCAGAATTTGAAATCAATACCCTTGGAATCTCCAGATGACCAATGATTTTGTTTTTGAATATTCTTTTAACAGCTTTTAACCTTATACTACCCTTATAAATGAAGATTACAGCCCAAACTAAAACACAATGCTTGACAGTTACTGATGAATTGAATCTTATTTTATAATCCTATTTCACAGCTAAAATAATTTTCATTACTGACATTTTCTTTAGTAACTATTCCTCTTTATAGTAACAGAGAAATAAACAGCCTTGTGAATGGGCACCTCACTGAATCAGCACTGGAGGACTAACTGGCTATTCTCTCAGTGAGAGAGGTCGGTTCCTAGGGCTCTACCCAGTACAGATGGCAAAAAGACAGGTTAGGTGTGCTTTAGAACCCAAGATGACAGAATATCAGCATCTATTTGTATCCACTATGCAAACAAAACATTCTACTTGAGAGGATAAAAAACTAAGTTTCACACTGGGTAGATTAGGTCACTAATCTATGGTAACTAGATTAGTAAACTCACCCTAGTTTACCATGTCCTAAAGCAACTGGAACTGTAGTTTTTTTTTTTTTCCATTTATTTTTATTAGTTGGAGGCTAATTACTTTACATCATTGCAGTGGTTTTTGTCATACATTGAAATGAATTAGCCATGGATTTTGAAGTTTAGTTTCTTGTAGGATTAATGCATCTTTGTAGAGCTCATAATGAACCAGATACTTTACTCATAAATCAAATCATGAGCAGGAAATATCTTTTGCTTAACTTAGTAAGCATTGCTTCATCCTATACATTACCTGTTTGGGATTAAAAAAAACAACAGAACTAACCTGGGTCCACTTATGGTTATCACTTGTTATTGAATGTACATCACAGATTAAAGTCTAAAAGAAATAACAATTAAAAAATATTACTATATAGGCATACAAACACAAGAAAACATTGAATAGGTAAAACTCAAAATGAAATCTGAAGTATTTCTTAATTAAACATTCCTTACCTGCATTGTTGGACGTAACAGAATGTGCCTACTTTGGTAACCAGGAGATTTCATATTACTGGACTGCCTATAGTCACGTATTTCTGCTATGACGCATCCACAATGAAAAATATTAACCTGTTTTGAGTGAAAATATTTAAGTAAATGCCATTTTTCAAAAGCCTAAGTACGTAGGTTTATACTGAATGTTTCGGGTTTTTGGCATTCTCATGCACTGCTTCTGACCATCCACATACTCAAAATTCCTTGGTGAATTCACCACCACACACACTCTTTGAAAAGGGAACTGTTTTATGTTCATCACTGTTGACTCAGGAAGCAGTTTAACACTGTTTCCTAGTTGCAGACTGATATTTGCCATTTATTTACTATTAATGTTACAGGTCACTGGAACTGCTGTTCTTGACACTCACTGGGTCACTGTTGTACTCTGCTAACACTGTCACTGTTATAAATTTGTTAATAAACCATGCCAGAATTTCAGCTTACAGATACAACTGCTATATCTGCTCTGCTAAAATTTCCAAGAGACAGGTTTCACTAATAAGAGGAAGAAAGCTAACATTAATTCAAATAATAATCTCCTGCTAATGATATTATTTTCTAGTTCTAAGTCCAAAGGTAAGGAAGTGTATCACTCAAGTCTTGCTAATTATTACTTGCTACAGTTGATTATTTTTTTGGGTTCCAAAATCATTGCAGATGGTGATTGCAGCCATGAAATTAAAAGACGCTTACCCTGTGCTCACTTCAGCAGCACATATACTAAAAGACGCTTACTCCTTGGAAGGAAAGTTATGACCAACCTAGATAGCATATTAAAAAGCAGAGACATTACTTTGCCAACAAAGGTCCATCTGGTCAAGGCTGTGGTTGTTCCAGTGGTCATGTATGGATGTGAGAGTTGGACTGTGAAGAAAGCTGAGTGCCGAAACATTGATGCTTTTGAACTATGGTGTTGGAGAAGACTTGAGAGTCCCTTGGACTGCAAGGAGATCCAACCAGTCCATCCTAAAGGAGATTAGTTCTGGGTGTTCATTGGAAGGACTGATGCTGAAGCTGAAACTCCAGTACTTTGGCCACCTCATGCGAAGAGCTGACTCATTGGAAAAGACCGTGATGCTGGGAGGGATTGGGGGCAGGACGAGAAGGGGATGACAGAGGATGAGATGGTTGGATGGCATCACCGACTCGATGGGCATGAGTTTGAGTAAACTCCGGGAGTTTGTGATGGACAGGGAGGCCTGGCGTGCTGCGATTCATGGGGTCGCAAAGAGTCAGACACGACTGAGCAACTGAACTGACTAACAGTTGGTTATGGTCTTTTATGTTTTTTTCACCATTTAGAACTCAAATGAGTACTGAGATTTCCATGTTATCAGCCATTTTTCTGTTCATGCTTTTTAACGAATGTTTACTGAGCCACTACAAGGTGAACTGTTAAGCACTATTCAAGTATCCAAGAAGCTTCACAGATAAAGTGGTGAGATACTTGCTATCAGTGTGGAAAGACAGGCAATAAACATGTAAACAAAAACAAGATAACCTGAGAGACTGAATGCTAGAGAAAATAAAATAGAGAGTGACTAATTTAGTTTGACTGTGTGCTCAGGCAAAATTTTGGAGTAATTTTCAGCTGAGACTTGAATCATAGCAAAGGGCCAGACACCTGGGAGAGATCACTCCAGACAGAAGAGCAGATGAATAAGATAAGAATAAACTTGGTGTGTTTTAGTCTAGAAAAATGGCATGGATGGCTGGAGCGTAGTGAGTGGGGATGAGAACCAGGAGGTGAAGACAAATACAAAGGCAGGAGTTTTGTACAGTGAGAGGACACTGGAGAACCTTAAGCAGGCAACTTTGTTGTTTTCTGTTTTTGTTTTGGAAGCTTAATCAACTACATCTATACATTTCAGTATATAGCCTAAAGGATAAATATCCCACAATAAACCAATTTTCATATAGGCATATATATATTAGGTCTTGCTTCCCTTTCCAAGAACTAATGAGAGTAAAACGAAATATTCTTTATCACAAAACAACATGTACTTGACAAATCTAAGGATATTTTATGGATAAAAATTTTGTACCTGAGATTTTTCTAGGAGATCAACCAAAATTGGAGGTAATTCTTCTGCATCCAAGTATTCAAGCAATTCTCCTTCTTCATAAGGCAGTCGAATGGTCTCAGAATCTTAATTTTAAAACATAAATGTTTCTGAAGGTGATCAGGCTCGCCAAAAAGCTTAGGTAATAATTTACGTAACTTTTCATAAAAATAAAGAGAATAAAACTAAAAGCTCTCCTGAAGTCCTTCATTTAAGTCTAAAAAATAAATCACCTCATAAAAATCTTGACAAACTGTATATAAACAGTTTTAGACTGGAAGAGAGAAAAATACCTAACATCCTATGGAAATACATCTGGCACAACAATAACAAAACAAATCCCAGCTAGCAGTACAATAATCAGAGTGTGATAAAATTCCGACTGTTAAATAAAACTCCCTTGGATTCCTTAATCTAATCTTGAAGTCAGACTGATAATCTGATATAGCTTCTGAAAAATGACTACAGGCCAAACTTCTCTTGGTGTTACATTTTACAATAACAACCAACACAAGAAAAAAAATCCTTAAAAATCTTTAACTGGGTAAGTTCCTTACAGAACTTATAGTATCATCACCAAATCAAAATTTAAATGTCTCTTTGGTGAAATCTCAGAGTGTTAATACTTTAAAATTCTATTTGGACATTCACATTAATCAGAATAAGATGTTGAAGACTATTCAAAAGGTAGTTGAGTCTGCTTAACTTTGAAAGTTTCACACTCAAAATATATTCAAAGCATAGAAGAAAAACATAGATTAAAACACCTTACACTATCTTAAATACATAAACAGCAACAGAATGAAAGGAAATTTTGATATGTTTTAAAACGACACCTTTTATGATTTAATTTCAAAGACCTTTCTCAGTCAGAATATTTCTCAAATTCAGCAAGGCTAATCACAGGAGAGTTAACTTCTCATATTCTAACAAAACATCATAAAGAAGAAAATTTGAAATCAAAGTTTTCTGTTGTCAGGCATCACTGCTGTAAAGGACAGATCACTCAGCAGGGTGAGAAGCTCCCTCTAAAACACAACACATCCTGCCCAGGAGATGCAGTTTCGTGGCTGCTGCCCTCTGGAGGGTCTTACCTGATCCATTTTTTCCCCTGAGCATCAGAGAATATCCCTCATTTCCTGGGTACAGGTTGACCACTAAACATGACAATGTCTCTTGCATAACAAGCTTCTCTAATAAGTTCACATTTCTTCTTAATTTCTGCTTTAAAAAGAGGCAGAGCTCATGAAAATAATCCAGCATAACTTCAAATAATGCAATCACTTAATGAAACTAGACCTGAGTTAGTTAATCTTTGATGATCCTTCCACATCTATATAAAATTAATGTTGATGTACTACTGTTTTATGCAAATGAATATCACAAAGAAAAAGTGATTCAAAAATAAAACCACTAAATACAAATATATGTACCTGAGTACACAAGTAGCAAATATTAAAAATATTTAGAAAGGAAAACCATTAAGTGTAAATTTTTTTTAAAAGAGGCTATAATGTATAGTTAGTTTCTATGAAGATTCAGTTCAGTTCAGTTCAGTTGCTCACTTGTGTCTGACTCTTTGCGACCCCATGAATTGCAGCACGCCATGCCTCCCTGTCCATCACAAACTCCCGGAGTTTACTCAAATCCATGTCCATCGAGTTGGTGATGCCACCAAACTATCTCATCCTCTGTCGTCCCCTTCTCCTCCTGCCCCCAATCCCTCCCAGCATCATGGTCTTTTCCAATGAATCAACTCTTAGCATGAGGTGGCCAAAGTACTGGAGTTTCAGCTTCAACATCAGTCCTTCCAATGAACACCCAGGACTGATCTCCTTTAGGATGGACTGGTTGGATCTCCTTGCAGTCCAAGGGACTCTCAAGAGTCTTCT